AAGTTTCGCGCGGGCGACCCGGCTTTGTTCGCGCCAGCTGCTCCGCACACGTCGGGGAGGGGAGCGCGGGCAGCGGAGTCCCTGGGCTACTACTGGGCGGGCGAGCGGGGCGAGTCCCCAGACCCGCCAGCGCCAGCCGTGGCCCTGTCCCTGCCCCCGCCCCACCACGCCGGACCCTGAGCCGCGCCTGGGGGACCCACGCGCTCACGGGGCAGGCAGAAGGCGCGGGAGGATGGAAATGAGCTGCAGGATCACCCTCTGCGCCGTGGGAGAGCCCACTGGGCTTGCGGGGTCAGCGCCAGGGCGGGAGCGAGGCGGGCTGGCCCTGGATCCCCAGGCCCCGCATCCCCAGCCCCTGGCGCTCCCCCCTGCGGCGGGACCTGTAACAACGCTATAGTTTTCCACCGAGACCAGCGCGTCTCCACTGCTCCCGGGCCGGAACCTGGGTCTCGCAACTCATCGCAAACGGGCCCTGGGGAGCCGCGGCCGCTCTGCCAACTGAGTTCAGAATGAACGAACGGGGAAGGGCAGCCTGGGTGCCGTCCTGCTCAGGGGACAGAAAGCTCCTGGTTTCAGCCAGCTCCTTAATGAAGCAAACAACGGCGATAATACTGGTGAAAGCAGCAGCTATTTCCTGAGCGCGTGGACCGTGCCGGGCCCTGCGCTGAGAGCCTGAGCATCATCTCCGCAGCCCTGGCAACCACACCAGGCGCCGCTCCCGTGCCACAGGCCAGCGAGCTGAGGCACCAGTGGCCGAGTGACCCGGCCCGGCACACCGCCAGGCGGGGAGGTTGGCAGCCAGGTTTGCGTGACTCCAGACACTGACAGCTCTGGAGGGCTGGGGGCAGGCCTGACGCGGAGCAGCGTCTCAAAAGCTGGGTCCCCAGCTAAGGGGGCAAGAGCCTCTGGCCCCGGGAAGCAGGCAGGACACATTTCAGGAGGCGGGTCTGCACAGCCGCTGGAGGGAGCGGGACGGGTGTCACGGTCGGACCCCACGCTCCTGACCGCCCTGCAGAGGGACTTTCCCGCTCTCCTGCTGGGCAGGGCCACAGGTGCTGCCTGGAAATCCTCCGAGGGGCTGCGTCCCTCCCTAATGGCTGTAACCTAATCCGCGGTTCCTTGGGTGTGGCTCCTGAAGCAGGTGTCCCTCCCCACTGCCATGGTGAGGTGGCTGGGCACCTGGAGTCTGGCAGGACGATGGCCAAGCGAGTGCAGGTCCTGGGGGCACCTGCACTTACTTCCGGGGACTCAGCTCGGGGCGCCTGCTCTGCCGGCCGCCACGGCCCCGGCCTCGGCAAACCCGCGGTGCCTCCAAGCTGCACAGGTTTGCTCAGCTGCCTGCGAAGTCCAAGTTCGCTCACCGGCTTAGCACTGTCTCTGTGACCCCCTCCGTCTAGAAGCCTCTCAAGTGTGATCCGGCCTGAGGTCAGCATCGCCGAGTCGTGTAAAGTCATAGCTTGATGGACTCACACTGGAACGAATGGCCGCTGCTACGGCTGAGTCCCTCAGGCCTCCCCGCGGGTGACAGGCAGCTGGCCGGTGCTGGCGATGGAAGGGAGCTGCCAGCCCAGCAGGGGACCCGAGGGCTGGCCTGGCCAGGCCATGCTTCCGCTTCCTCCTCGTCTCATCCAGCCGGGGTGTGGACAGAGGCTACGACAATGCTCCCTCTCCTGTCACGTGGCCTCCTGTTCCCAGGAAAAGGCCCGTCGCCCACTTAGGCACATACAGTAACCCTCAGAACCTTGCTTTGTTCTGGGACATCCGGCTGTTCGCCTGGCCGCACGTGGTTGCCGTGGGTGCGGTGGCGGCCGTGGGCAAGACGGGGTCTCCACCTCGGCAGGTAATGGGACAGGCCCGCGGGGACTCCGCGGGGCGTAGGGGCACCAGCTCAGGGCTCAGGTGACCGGGCTGCTTCGGGAGGAGGTGGAGGAGATCGGCCTGGACCCCAGCTTGTGTCCCCTCACGGGCCGGTGGCGAGGGCTGTTCCTGCTGCGGGCCCTGGCTCGGCCCTCAGTCCGCTGTCCTCAGACACGCCTCGTTCCCCTCCATGGCCACATTGCAGCCCCGTTTCCACCGGCACAGAAGTAGCTTCTCGGATCACGTTCCTGGGGGCAAGTGGAGGCTTCCACAAGCCACGTGTCTTTTGCAAAAGACGCCCATGGTGTGACCAGACGAGGCCCACCAAGGACCAAGCACGGCACAGGGCTTGCTGACCGAGGCCCAGCTGGCTCCACTATGGGTGACCCACTATGGGTCACAGGCTCCCAGCTGGGGCCTTCCAGTGGGTTCTCTCCTCCACGTGAACACCTTTGACATGGGGGCTGCCTTTTCAGAGTGGCTTTTGTAGCCAGCAAACCTTGGGGGTAGACCTGAGGCCTCGCCCCTCGGTCTGCACCACAGAGGGTTTTGGGATAGGGATAGGCTGCGCTGAGGGTGGCAGCCATTCCCACCTTGAGGTTGCTTGGGGCCCTTGCATTTTGTCGTGGGTGTCTCCCTCTTGGCAGGCATTGTGGGCCTGGCCCATGGACCGCTGGGCCCAGGAGGCCGCCTGGAAATGGCCGAGCACAGCCTGTGCCTGGGTGGGCCAATTATGTGGTCAGAGCCGCGCCCCCCGGCACCCCCAGTACCCCCAGATCCCAGTTCCCAGTTCCCCCAATTCTGTAAGTGTGTTTCTCATGAGCCTCCAGTGGCAGAAGGCTGGGTCCTCCACCTTGGGGCCCCTTCCCATGATGTCACACCCCCATCCTAGTGGGGAGCCTGAGGCTGGAGGACAGCCGGGGGGCAGGGCACCCTCCGAGCTCCGAGGCAGCCTCTCTGCGTCCCCTCCCTGTCTCTGCATCGTCCTGGACTGGCACGGACAGCTCGCTGTGTTTTCAGATCCACAAACCAAATGCTGAGTGAGAAAGACAAGTAAGGTCACATAGGCCTCCCTCTGGCTCAGGACCCCCCCAGCATCCCAGCTCCCCCCACATGCAAGGATGGACGCAGGTACTTTCATGCCGAGACAGCAGGACACTCCCGGAGGGAGGGACTAGGGGCGGCCCTTCATTTGAATTGGCCTCCATGCAAAGCTTCTGTGATCACCAGGTATGCAAATTGGGGTGTAGCAGCAGGCACTTCCGTGGCCGCCCCAGATCCCGCCATCCATGCAGCTGCTTTATAAATAACTTCGAACCTCGTCTTCGGGAGGTGGAAGCCTCCTCCACTCACCCGCTCCGAGGGAGGGCGCCGGCTGGATCCCGAAGGGAGAGGAGGCAGCTGCCTGGGGAGCACCGCCAAGGATCATGGGGACAAGGACCCCGGGGTCACAGGAGTGAGGGGGAGGAGCGGCCAGGGGGAGCCTGGGGGCTGCCGCGCGGTGGGGCTCGGCACAGTGGGGTGTGTTGTGGCTGGCAGCCTCAGCCGGCAGGTGCAGGAAGGAAGGAATTTACGGGCTGGCGCAAAAACAGAAAGAAGAAATGAAACCTGTGATTGTCCCCAGCAGCCAAATTCCCAGCAGGGTTCTGGGAGGAGCCTGGGAGCTCTAGCCAACCCC